TATATATTTTTAGTTGTCCAGATCATTTCTTTCTATTTTTTAGTAGAGACGGGGTCCCGCTCCTGCTCAGGCTAGTCTCAAACTCCTGACCTTGAGCGATCCACCCGCCTCGGCCTCCCAGAGTGCTAGGATTACAGGCGTGAGCCACCGCGCCTGGCCTAAGTAACTGTTTTATAAGCAGTTTTTGTCTGGTCTACCACTCTTTATCCCTTATTTCTTTCTTCCTTCATGTTCTTTATCATCAACTACCTCCTTTCATAGGTTCTCTCTGCCTTCCTCAAGCCTTATAATGTTATCAATTAGTAACCACATGCATCCCAGAATACTGTCCTATTATTTTATACCTAACTCATATCCATTGTATTCTACCATTTTCTCCTATAGTCCTCCCATCTCTGTCCTATATCAACAGAATGTAGAATCAAAAATGATAAGTATAAGAGCAAGTAATAATACAACGGACACTTTTAATGACTTACGGGAGTCATATTTAACTCTGATTATAAAACAGATATGGGATGGTTTAGACTACTAAAATGCTTATTAATAACAATTGAGTCTCCTTATTTTCACATACAAAACTAATACTAGCTCTATCTTGGAACTTCAGAACACTCACTAGCTTTAGGAAGCACTCAAGAAATAAAAGCAAAAATCTGAACCCTACGTACACTATAGATACTATTTAATAAATGTTCCCAGAGAGAAACGAAGGGGACTATTCTTAATTATCAATATTGGCATAGCATCATCAGTATTCTTATCTCCTCCTACAGGATGCATCCTACATTTCATTCACTCTTTAGTTTAAGGAACACTTCAGCTCCTACTTCATAGTAGATGTGAGTTTGTATTTCCATGGAGAATTTCCAGTTTTAAGATTAGAATTCAAGGATATTACATTATTAAACCAGCTTCAACTCTCTCATCATACAAAAGAAAATGCTATTTTATTTTAAACGTGTGTACAGGGGGGCATGTCCATTAAAGATTATTAGCATTAGTATTTATATAAAATCTCACATATAAAAAGTATGTTTGTAACATCCAGGAAAAAGAAGAAAATTTCCAACCTAATCACCAATATATAATAGGACAAATCATTGAGCTAGAGTTTGATTAATTTA